AAAAAAAAAAAAAAAAAGCTCCTAAGATCGTGGTCGAGTACGAGCGAAGACTAAAAGGGAAGGCATCAGCATGAAGCATCTCAACGGACTTTCGAAGCTAAGGGGGATGAAATGTGAGGAATGAGCCCTCGCAGGGCCCTTATCAAACATACACAGGTTATGGGCTGAGACCCTTAGCAAGCCCCGTGCCCGCCCTAAGTGAAGGCGGACCTGAATATTCACCAGAGGTCAAAATTTGTCATTTTCCATATGTGGGTACTCAGGCAATTGCAGCACGCCAGTTGGTTGAGGAGAAGAGTGAGCTTCCATGTGCTGCGTCGTACAGTTGGGCTCAAACCTTGGTAGTTGCACTTGGGCGCACACACACACACAGTGCAAGGCGGATGCATCACGAATTGGCTACAGGCCTACGAAAAAGCAGCATTGTCGACGTACATACCCCAGGTTCTGAGCAAAGGCAGCAAACGGCCCAAGTCTGGAAATACTAGCCGTGCCCAATTGTAAAGGGCCCAGGCCCTCAACCGCACAGCTGGGCTTGGGCACAGGTACCGGGGCGTGATCGGAAGCTACTGGAAGCTTCCTAGCCAGGCCACACGCAGCCAAACAGGGGCTGCTACTTCCATATAGGGAAGGAGACAGCCAGGGGCAGGAGGCTGGGCCACGCAGGCAATGCGGTCACGCTGCTGCGCGGGACGCTGCATGCCGCGCTAGCGGCCAGGGCGCATGCGGGCGCTTGAGAGGTGAGAGGGGCGCTGCTGGGCAGCGGAGCGCGAGCAGCCATAGCCGGGCTGCAGGGCGCTAGGGGGTAAGAGGGCGATCGGTGGTCTTCAGGAAGGAGGCGAGTGGGGGTGGTCAGGGTCTGATGAGGGGAGACGAGATACATACCTGGTGCATGAGGGAGGCCGGCTATGGTGTTGACATCATGTACATTGGTCTTCAAAGTCGAAGTCAGCCTGTTACGTGAATGCGGATGTAGTAGGATAGGCAAGTAGTGTAGGCTGGGCGCTGGGCGCCAGACAGAGAGGAGCGACATTGGATACTGTGTTGGTGTGGCCTGAGGGCTTGAACATTGGCTCATGAGTTCATTGTATTGCTCTTATTGGGATGGAATCTCGGTGCATTTGTGTTCTCTGCTTGTACACAACTACTTGGACATCTGTGTGATTTCACAACTTGGCTTTCTGTATATCGTTCTCACTCATATTCCTTGCACAATGGTCAGCGTGTGTCGGCGTCCATCTCGGCGTCCATCTCCAAAGAATAAGGCAGAAGTTACGAAGGTACTGGCTATGGAGACCATAGCTCAAAGTCAGGTAAGAGGTCACGGGTTGAATGGCGGATGGGCTAGCCACAAACATAGCTGATTTCTCGCACCCCATGCTATAGCCCATGTTGAGCGGCTCGTCTGGCCGAAACTGCAAATCGGGCCCCTCTTTTTCTTGCATCACCGGCCCTTCCTGTCCATGGGTGTTTTCAAATCTACCCAGTCGTTGATGGAGATCAGCGCGAAAATCCGCCAAAGCGGGGACAGTCAAAGTTTTTGTGATTTCCTCCCCAGAGGCCCCCTAAGGCCGAACGGGGTATAGTTCAGGCGCCAGGCCTTGGGTACTCGTAGTTGGCGCAGAGACCCCGTTTTGGATTGGATGTACTGGCGATTCAAGTACTCCGTAGGCAAATAGGCAAAGGCAATTGTGTGTGACGAGGACGACGGACTGGCGCCTTCCCAGAATGGAAAGATGCCCAGACAGAAGGTATACCCAGAATGGAAAGAGGCTCATACAAGAGTGAAAAAAAAAAAAAAAAAATGGATACAGGGATCTGTTGCCAAAATGAAAGCGAGACAGAGATTTGAACATGACCTACGGTACCCATCCATGGTGCAAAGTTGCATGTGTTACTTCAGGTCACGCAGTCTAGTCATGTTCGCTGTGTAATATTGGCTGGCGGTCGAGCTGGCGGTGCGTGGGCATCTGAGCGGGCTGAGTGGTTGCGGCTGGCCGGCGGGCGGGAAGAGGGCGGGCGAGCCAGCTGGGTTGGGCGGTCGGGTGAGCCTGACGGCTGCAGGGAGGAGATTGCTTGCCTTGCCTTTTTTGTATTGCCAAGCGTTGGGGAACCGGCGTTTCCGCAGCGACTATACAGCCCGCGTTGTGTAGGAGGGCCCATGCCAGTAGGGAACCCGCCAGCTATCTATCTGGGGCCAGGTCCCACTGGCGTGCGTTGTTCATTCCCGACCGCCGATTGTGGCGGGAATACACAGATCCATGGCCCGAAATGAAGAACACCATCTAGTGGGACCTGTTGTGAATAGAAGCGGCGGAAGCGCGGGAAAGACAGGGCAGGTTGTCCTGAGGCCGAACAGCAGGCAATTGTCTTTGTACAGTACAGCGGAACTGACGCCGTGGGTTCACCATCCTTTACGCGGAACAACTCATTTTCTGCAACGGCCATCCCCGCCTCCCTGTCATGTCGTCACCGCTGCCAGCCTCGGGGTCGTCGGCGCCGCTTTCCCGTTTTTGAACCCGTTTATTCAAGTACCGGTATGTGGTCTACATAATAAAAATAAAACAAAACAATGTGGTCGCTGCAGTGCACAGAATTCATACGCAGCCCGCCCAGCCCGCCCAGCCTGCCAAATCCGCTCGCCCCGCTGGCCTCGTCCTCCCCGATTCCCTTTTCCTTGTTTTTCCCGCTTTTCCGGGAGGGGATAACTATCAATATTCCCTACCTATTTATCACCATTTGAACTCTTATCAGTCTGCAGTACAGTACAGTTAAGCATGTACGTACCGTTCAGTGACACAAGGCGGGGAACGAGCGCCACTTCGAAATCTGTTTCGGAGGTATGAAGTAGTGAAAGGTCGGTATTCTACAGCTGTTCCACATCTCTTCGCCTTGCGCTCGCTCTCTTTCCCTTTCTTCTGCGATCTCAAGCTTGTCATCGCGATATCGCCTCCCGCACAATATGAAACTCGATCTCGCCTCCCGCACAATATGAAGCTCGAGATTCGAAGCTCGCGCTTTCTTAGCTTCGTAAGCCCTTTTGCCCATGGATCGAGCAACTGAGTGACAGTCCGGCGAAGCATGCGCGCCTCTGCGCTGGCATCCGAACTCGCACGAGCCAGTTTGCAGGTGATGGTCGTTCAAATTCGCGTCACATTCGCATCGGGCTATATATGGAAATCCTGTACGAGTCTCCCTCAGATGGCGGAGTATCCGGGAGTGATCATTCTGTAGAAATCGAGCCATTCAGAGTGTGAGAGGATCGGAAAGTAATCTGTGTGAAGATTGGTGCGCTGATGTACAAGGACTGGTGTACAAGCCGACGGTGGAGCTTGGACGGAACTAAGGACTGTGCGGCGGCTGGGTCTATAGCAGTTTCAATCTATTATCTGTTGTCTCCAGGTGGCAGAGAGTCGGAGGGAACCTGAGGGGCACGGAGTTGTAATGGAGGGTGCAAACTTCAAAAGAAGTGAGGTAAGTCTGTCTTCGGATCGCTAGCGTTGATCCGATACTTCGACGATAATCAAGAGTCAAGAGTCAAGACGGTCAAATCGGGAGCGAAGGGCAAGGGGGACGGGGGAATCCGCGGGGGGAGAGGGAAAGGGAGGGGGAGCCGCGGGGTGGTTTTGGTTGTGAAATATAGAGAGGACCGGGCGGGACAGCGCTGGGCGAAGCGGCTTCTCGCCGTAAGGGGATTGATCGCTCGCCTCGGGGGGGAAGTGTGGTTGGAGAATGGAGACGGTGGATTTCATTCGTGTGTCCGTTAGCGGACTAGCGTTGCGTGGTTTCTCGTCCGTGAAGACAATGGGGAGCGAAGGACGAGTTGCAGCTGCAAGAAAACGCTTGGTTTTCTGTGAGATTCGGTTGGGAGGGCTTCCGTCGCAGACGGCTGAAGTGCAGATCTTGGACACTCGTGATGGGGAGGTGGACAAGGGTAAAATCGGGGCTACCTTCTACCTCGATCAAAAGGCAATGGAGGCCCTGTGCGCGCCATCGTCCTGCGGACTTCAGGCGAAGTCGGTGCTGGAGATCAACGTGCTCACGGTGGACAGAAGTGGTGGGGGCTTTCATTGCGGAGCTTTCGAGAGACAGAGTATAGGAAAGTTCAAGTTCGATGTTACGCAGCAATGGACTGAGGGAAAGGTTCATGTGGTGCATTCTGGCTGGACGCCCATCACGCAGAAGAGAAGGAACTCCTTTTTCATTTGTCGAAATAGGGCTCAGCAGTCGGTGATAGAACCGGAAATGCACTTACGTGTGAAGGTGGAGCCGGATCCGCGTTATGTTTTTCGATTTGCAGGGCAGACAAATCTCAGTCCGCAGATAGTGCAAACGTGTGGATCTCGTCAGCAACCTTTTTTCAGTTGCAAGTTCAGTCGAGACCGTGGCAATCGATCCAGGTGAAGTGAACAAATCCCCACCTTCCATTGCACAGCCCTTGTCTTCTCCTCACTGTCAAGTTGATGCTGACGTCTCGCTGCGTTTCTCTCAAGTGATCTCTTACGTTCAAAGCAAGAGGGGCACAGAGCATGGGACGTTCATGGTGATATCAATCTAGCCGCCTGATGACTCACTGAATATCCCACAACGTCTGTCATAGCCTCCTTTTCATTCCGTCTCTCCCCTTCTTCCTACGCCTTTCTGGCTAGTATAATCTTCTTATAAGGCGGTGGAGAACATGAGACGTGGCGGGAGCACGTGTGTGCGTATGTTTGTGGGTGCGTTCGTTTGTGTGTGTGTGTGTGTGTGTGAGAGAGAGAGAGAGAGAGAGAGATGTGCATACATACAGAAGTACTTCCATATATATCCCTGATAGTCAGGGCCAACCTCCTGATGAATCGGCGGAACTCCGAAACAGCCTGTAATAGCTCATCGTTTCATGTGCTCTTATCCCTTTCCGCCAACGGTTCACTGGGTAGCTCTTGGGGGGAGAGGGGGAGGGGACGAGAGAGAGAGAGAGAGAGAGAGAGAGAGAGAGAGAGAGAGAGAGAGAGCGTCGGATACTCCCCACCAATAGATGGAGCCTCTCCCGGGTGCTAGTGGTATCTGCTTCTACCAGTACTACTAGCACTGCAGGGGGCGTGTTTAAAAAAAAAGAAAAGAAAAGAAAGAGGCGATGAAAAAATGGCTGATGTAGTAGGATCCGATTCGTGCAAGACGTCATCGATATATTAATGGCCGACTAAGGTATGTGATTATCAGGTGCGATTCGCAGGCCGCCTCAATATTATTAACGCTGTGTTATTCTATCTCTTGCTTGAATTTGGTGCAGGTACAGAAGTGGTGACGTTCTCAGGGGAAGCTCATATGAGGCAGGAGGAAGAGGGGAGGGCACCGAGAATAGGGAAAGGAAAGATTGGACGGTGATGATCCATGATCTGTCTGGAGTTCCGATCGCTGCGGCAACTATGGTTGCGCCATTTGCTCCGTCTGCAAAAGGTGACGAGGTTACTAGAGCGCGGCCTGGAGCGTGGATGATTCTGAGACCGGATACGTGCGAGGGAAATTCCTGGCAGTCTTGGGCGAAGCTCGAAGCATGGAGGGAGAAGGGTAAGAAAGCGGTCGGCCTCCGGTTGGAAATGATGGACGAAGACCGGTTCTTGCGGTTTGGAAGCGGCGGGAGAACTGTCCCCGTTGTAGAGACGGTTGTGGATGCGGATAAGGGAGGGGTTTTCACCCTGGACACGTCGCGGGTGGCCAGATCGGGAGCGGGAAGTGCTGTGTCATCTGCGGAGGGAAGTGCTTTGTCGTCTAGGTCGGCCTCCATGGACTCTGCTGCAAATGGATCCGGCAGGGAAAGAGGAGGCAGCAACAGCTGCAGCTTCTCATCTGCCCGCGGCTTCTTAATGAGCGTCAAGGTGGAGGGGGAGAAGAAGAGGGGTGAGAGCAAGCCGGTTGTACAGGTCAGCACGCGAAACGTTGTCCACGTGGAAGACGTGGCTGTGTTTGTGGCTTTGGCAGCAGCCGTCGATCTCAGTGTGGAAGCTTGTCGGCCTTTCAAGGACAGAAGGCGAGGTGCGACTGGCACGTCCAGTGGGGGGGCGAAGAAGACTAGCCGGGGTTTTCACGTCGGCAATCCGTTTGATTTGGGCGCCCGAGTCTTGAAATCGCGTGTCACAACCTGCGGCGTGTGATGACCCACTTATAACATATTGCTTGCCCGTCCCTCGGTAATGTGTTCCTTTGTCGTTTTCCCCCTTGTCACGCTGGACGGCCGGCTTGGCATCTGTACTTTCCCGCCGGGAGGTTTGTATGCTGCTTTCTCTCTACTCCTTGGTCTGCATGCCTCTCGCCCCCGTGTTTGTTATCGCACGTCACGCTATCTTTTCGTGTTATTAAGGTCAGTGCCAGTAGGATGTATGTATTTCAGCGCGGTGAGGGAAGTTCGTTATTTGTTTGAGTCCCAAGGTCGTCGTGTTTTTCCTTCGCCATTACGTTCTCTTCCCCCGTTGCCGTCATACGGTGCGGGTGCTGAAAATCGCAATGCCGGCGTTTACAATGTGCCGTCAGGAATGGGTACTTGGCGACGTCTGTCAGTGTTGTCGTCGACTTCTACTCCCGTTCGCGCGACCACTGTACGATCGGCGTTTGAGTGGGTGGCCCTGTGTGCCTCTGTTGTTGCCAATTAAATGGGTATGCAGGTAATGTACCTCTGTCGTGAGCTGTATTTGTTATAAATAGATGTGGTCTACTTTGTTTATGCTGTTGGATATCGTCGAGTAAAGAATAACGAGCAACCATCCCGAGCGAGAGACGACGAACTTGCGGGATCCTTGTCTCCAAGCTTTTTAGCAAAACATGAGAAGACCGCGACGGACGTGCGGGAGAGGTGAATTTTACATGGTCTGTAGGCGGAGCAAACCAATCTGGGGGAGCTGAACACAGAGAGAGAGAGAGAGAGAGAGAGAGAGAGAGAGAGAGAGAGAGAGAGAGAGAGAGAGAGAGAGAGAGAGAGAGAGACAGAGGGTTGGGAAACGAGAGGAGGAAGAATGGTGGGAAGGAAGAGAGGAGAGAGCGGCAGGACTGTTTTTGTTTCCATCTCTTCAGGCATGAATGTATTTTGGAAGGGAAGAGGAATCGAGGCTTTGGTTCGTAAAGATGCGTTCGATGGATGTTGCATGGATCTTTGTGCTTTCGTTTGTCTGCTGCGTTCCGTGCATAACGACGGACGGAAACGGTTGCATTGTTTTTTATTAACTAAGAAGATGGTATGATCCTTCGCGCTTGTCCTAGAGCTCGGGAGAAGACGTGATCGCGAGAATGGCAAATTTATCTTTCTCTGGAGAGGCTTCAACATAGTGATCTTAACTGACATGCCACCATCAGGACGGGATACGAGGCACAGTTACAATGGCGAGTCTGCACGGTCATACAGTATTTGTAGTGGATTGCCGAGGCTTATCCAGTTGGTCATCGCGTTATCAGTTCAAGCTTGGACCCTCGAGCGAAAGTGTATGCCTCTGCTTGTGACAACAGCTGTGCCGTCTTGTGTCTCGGATTGTGGGATTGGGAAGTTGATGGAGCATCTTTGCGACAACAGCAGTATTTGTGGTGGATTGTCGAGGCTTATCCAGTTGGTCATCGCGTTATCAGTTCAAGCTTGGACCCTCAGGCGAAAGTGTATGCCTGCTTGTGACAACAGCTGTGCCGTCTTGTGTGTCGGATTGGGGGATTGGGAAGTTGAAGGAGCATCTTTGCGACAATAGCTGGCTTCTTTTTGTTGTCGGATTGTGGGATTGGCAAGGTGGGAGGAGCACCGTGAATCGCGTTCCATTCCCACTGATATCAGGGAATGTGCGACGGAATAAGAAGAGGAGAAGATAAACCAATCTTATTCCTTGTTCGCTGTGATAAGCATTAGGATTTTTTGTTTCCTTGTCGATGGTCGAGTTGGTGGACATGTTTTCTCGCTGCCGCAGATGCGAGCAGCGGAAGGGTGTGTGTATTATACGTCCGTGGTTAGGGCGCGTGCGTTTGTAGTTGTCGGTTCTATAGACAAAGAGGATGAAGGAAGTTTTTTCCACGTCATGAATCACATGGCTATCCTCGCGCATTCTGTACATAGAGAAATCGAGAGCGAGCGAGTCCTGCTTTGAGACACAGAGAGCTAAGGTGGCAGGCAGGCACGCACGTGCGTCAACGAGTTCCTGCTACCACGTCGCTCTTTGTTAAGTTGTAGTTTATGTCGGCGATTAGGGCGTTTTGTCTAGCCGTCCGTATGCGACATAGGGGAGTTTTGTCCTCTTCACATCCGCGTTGCTCGCTCATATTGCATAAGTGCAAATCGTCATAGATGGCAGGAAAATGCCGTCGGTCCACACGTTCTTGCACCTGCTTTCTTGATTTACGCTTTAGCCTGAAGGAATCTTCTATTGCGCTCGTGGTACGATAGACGGTGGGATTATTGCCGTCGGTTCACGTTCATACTCGCTTTTGACTTACATTAGAGCTGCCTGTGTTCGATACGCACTCAGCGCGTACTTAAACTAGCTAGCACTATCGTTAAGGTATCGGACTGCATTTAATGCCGGACCTGTATGCATCTGGCCGCAATTCCGTCCAGAAATAAGCAGAAAAGTGCTAGTGTGAGTATGCCCTCAAGTATCCATGTTGTTGCGCTTGAAGGATCGATCGGTCTCTCTGTGGGGGGGTCTTTTCGCTCCTTCGGCATTCTCGACAATGGAGAAGGGGAGAATTGAGTATGCGGCTGTTTGGCGTTTTACCAGTCGTACGGGTCTACCTGTGGATTACGCTGGAAAGCAGTTGAAATTGTGAGTCAGGAGTGTCTTCGTCCACCGTAGCCGGAGGGAGTAGGTGATGTGAAACGTTGAAGGGACGTTCAAGGAACTTGAGTATTGAACGAGCACGGAGGATTTGGGTCATGGCCTCACAGCACACGCGGAGTGAGAGGAACGTGAGAGATGAGAGAGAGGAGAAGGTAGAGTGAGTTCGCCGTTTGCCTCTGGACGGTGCTCATTTCATGAGCAGCCGGCGATTGCCTTGCCTTGCCTTGCCTTGTCGTTTCGTTTCTTCAGGGAAGGTGAGCGCGTTAATAATGACGCTTCCGACGTTCGATTAAAATTTGCGAAGGAGCTTTGAGCGCTCTCTTTGCTTTTGCGGTTGGAAATTGTCAGTTGAGTGGGCGAACGGACGGGGTAGGTTCAGCATTTGTAGGCTCCTTTTTTTTGGTTGTCGATGTCATGTCTGTCGTCGGCGTCGGTTCTGACGTTTGGATGAATACAGGAGGAATTCCCGATCACCAGTGCTTTGAGTGCAGGGGTACTCGAGTGCTGCCGTGTGTGCCATCCAAGCGAACGATTGTGTGCTCGCCGTTTTTGTTTCTAGTGGCAGCTGTGTCTCGAAAGCGTCGTCCGTTATGTTAGACCATCGAGTTTCTTTTGTCGGTTCGGTTTTTATTCGAATCCCCTCGAGGTTATACGTGTGTGTGCATCAGTTTCTTGACTTTTAAGTTTCGGAGAGAGACTCGGGGGGGAGAGCAGAGAGAGAGAGAGAGATAGAGATAGAGAGAGAGAGATTATGTGCGTGGGGGACAGCTTTTGTAAAGCTAATGGGAGACTGACAGGATCAAAGAAGAGAAAGCGGCTGACTCGGCCCGGTGCTAGATCACGCAAGCGAACGTTGGAGCTTTCTGCCTCAGCACGGAGCTGTGTGCTTGTATAAGTAGAACGTCATTACAGCCAACAGATCTGGGCGTTTGTGGAACGGAGGTTTGGTTCTTGCAGGGGGGAGAAATTGGGGTAGGGAATAACCAGGTTCAGTGGTTCACCTCTTGGCGCTGAGACACCCTTGTATATGCGTTTGTACTGTTAGCGGTGAAGTCGTTCTGTCTGTCTGTCTGTCTGTGTGTGACTACGGCGCATGAAGATGGTGGCGGTGGTATCGTCATGACAATGACAATCCTTTCTTCAAGTTTCGTACTTGAACTGTTCTTTTACCTCTTGCCGCCTCTCAGCCATTGGATCCTGTATCTCAGCCATTCGATCCTGTATGGCCGTTCTCAATGCATTACGAGGAGTCGTGTCATACGACTCACGTGAATGCACTCGACTCTGATTACAGGCAAAATGCGGCAAACGCATTCGTGTCTGAATACAAGACAAGTGCAGTAAATGCGTTCGACTGTTAATGCATGCGAAATGCAGTAAATGCATTTGAGTCTGAATACAAGGCAAGCTGCAGTAAATGCATTTGCGCCTGAATACAGGCAAGATGCAGTACATGCATTTGAGCCTGAATACAGGCCAAATGCAGTGCATGCATTGGGCGTTGGCTTGAAATATTTTTGTGATCATCAGGGTATGAACTGCGGTGTTCCCGGAGACCGAAATATGATTACCTTTGACGAAATGGGTACCTTTGACGGAGCATTGAACTGAATGATGGAGCGGATCAGATCAGATCAACGGTCGCGATATATTGGCTGCATCGACGACGGCGGCGGTCTTGGCGCGGCGTGTCGACGAAGAAGGGCCTGGCTCCACTATATAATACTCCACATGCATTTGGACTTTTCCTGTTCACAGTTCATTCAGAATTTTTGAGTCGTCCGAATGAACATGGTCCTGAAATCTTCCTAATAATGCATGTAGAGTAATGTGTTGTGGGGCCAGGCCTGAAGCATTCTGTTTTTCCAAAAAGTTCGGTTCTGCTGTCCACTTTTGTTTTTCAATATGCTTCGTCGGTCGATCGATAGACAGCAGAGCAACGGGGGAGAGAGGGGATTTGGCGGCTTGCCGCCGGGAAATGTGGGGAGAGGAGGGGTATTGTTGTCATGCCACGATTTTTCTGATGAATCGTTCCATATTGAAGGCCAGGTTCATTTGGAAAAGTATTACGATGAGTACGGGCCTGGCTGGCAATGTGCCAAAGTTGGCAAGTGCAGTTCTGTCCAGATTCAGTCTGACTGGACCCGTTTTGAACGTATCGGGACCGCTTACACCTTCAGATACGTTTAGAATGGAGCGAGGCCCAATATTAGGCACCATTGTTGATCAGATGTTGAGATCTCAAGAGTTATATTCATCCTCAGGTGCATTTATCTCCAAGGTTATGTTCTTCCTCCTCAGGTGCATTTATTTCAAGCGTTGTGTTCTTCCTCAGGTGCATTTATCTCAAGGGTTATGTTCTTCCAGCAGCAGGCGTGTGTGGAGTGAGTAATTGAGCTCGGTCCTTTCGTTCTCGTGGGATGGTCGCTTGTCTAACGATGGCTGTTTCGGCGGCTGGAGTGTGTGGAGTGGGTGAACATGGAGGTCTTGCAGCTTGGTCATGCTGTTCTGGTGATGCGCTACGCTCGATGCAAGTGTATATGAGCTTCCCTCCACTACTCGACATTCTGACACGTGTCTGGACTGCTCAGTTCAGGACCAGATGCGTTGCGACGGATCCAACAATGTTGAACGTATTGGCACCATTTGTAGCTCCAGATGCAGTTTGTGTGTTGTGCAGGGGAGCGAGGCTTTATGGAAAGAGAATATGGCGAAGGATGACGGAGGCCCCGGGGGGGGGGCCGGCGCTTCACTGGATGGCAGGGCACGACGTAGGATCGTCCGGACGAGATTTTCCAGTGTCCCGTTTATTTCGGCTTTTCCATTAATTTTGTTTGTTGATTGTGCGGCCCCTGGCCGTGGATTTCAGTTCTCAAGAGGTGCATAAGTACTTCACAACTTGTTGTTCAACTTGCTTCCACCAAATTCGAAAACAAATTTATAATGGACTCCTTGCTTTTTCCCAAAAAATAAAAATAAAAATCAAATTTACCATATGAGCAGACGCTTTGTTTGCGTTTGCATTCCACTCTCAACTGTTTTGCAGATCATCTTTCTGTCTTCGGCCTTTTGCCGTGCAATTTTGTGTTTGTCGATGTAGCCTTCTACCTTCACGAGGCTTGTGTGTGTTTTTCAAATTTTTCTCGTTTGTTTTTCCCTTCCGAGGTGCTCTTGAGATTCTTGCATTCTTAAGCCCCTGCCTTTTTCTTTTTCATCTTGTTTTTTTTTTTTGTGAGTTCGTTTGTATCTCATCTCCCCCCTCCCTTTGCTCTACATGCCGCTGTTTTCTCACGCTCCCCTGTCTCCCCTCTGCATGCCACTGTTTCTTCGAGGTCCATCTTTGTCCCACGGTTTTCTCCCTTTGTACCCACGTGCTATAGTTCTCTGGGAAGAACGAGTTCTTCAGTCCCCATGTACTCGTTGACTTCCTAGTACTTGTTTACCTGTTCTTGGGCACACTGATCTCGACTGGTTCTTATTTTTTTTTTTTTTTTAAATCTCGACTGGTTCTACACTCTCCAAAATTCGGTATTGCACTGTCGTGCACCACTTCTGCAGGTTAACAAATCTTCCCGCTGTCTCTTNCCCCCCCCCCCCCAGAAATGCGATGAATGTAGCCCTTGTCTGTCTGGTGATTGAATTCTATCTTCTGCTGGCACGAATATTTGTCTGTGATTTTTCTTGCTGTTTGCACCACCCGTCTTCCTTAGGACTCCGTCTTCCCATCCCTTTTTCAGCGGGTCTTTTTGGCTTGCTGTGTTTGACTTGAGAGTGGCATTGTGTTGGTCCTCTTTATTTTCATTAATTGAGAATTTCTTCCACTGCTTTTTCAGACTGTAGCCGGGGGAAATAAAGCTTTGCCGGAGATTCCTTGTTGTTTATCCCCACAGCCGCGTCAATTGTTCTGAAGTAATCACCCTGACCTTCTGGGGGGGGGAAATACACCGGCATGTTGACAGATTCATATGTGAATCTCTGCCTCCCCGGCCTTCCAATGTAGTACAATCATACGATATCCAATGTCGTACAATCATCTTCCTTCCGATGGCATGGGGTTACAGACGTACGGCTATTTTAGGATGCATCACGCTGGACAGGACCCTCCGAGGGCATGCATTGGGGTTATAGACGTACGGCTATTTAGGATGTCTCACGCTGGAGAGGAAGATGCATGGCAAGCTACCTCCTCCCAGAAAGGCTGGAAGAAATAGAGTTCATTTTCGTTCAATCAGGAGCAGCACCACACCAGTTGATCAGAGCAACCCGCATTGGCCTACTACTAAGAGGGGTAGGTGCTCATATCACTCCTCCTAGTTGGCTTACCCAGGTTAATAATAACAATGATAATAATAATAATGATAATAATAATAATGATAATAATAATAATGATAATAATAATAATAATAATGATAATAATAATAATAATAGAGTCAGCTTTTGTTCAGGTTTGGAAATGCAGAAGCGAACAGGACAATGCATCTGGACGTGCAGATGCCGTAGTGACTGGTCTGGACTTCCACGTGCATTTCTCGTGTGCACTCTGCCAGGACCTTGCGTTCGCAAATACTGCGCACCTGGGAGATGGTTAACGTCCGGAAAGGAAGATGTTGAAAGTTGAAACAGAATTTGACGAAGAATGGAAGAAATTGCGATCGCTTAGGGGGAGTGAGGGAGGACAGACAGTTGGGGATGTGGTTGAAATAGTGAAAAACAGGCCAGACAGATTAAAGAAGCGTAATGCAGAGGGCTTCAATCTCGTTTCAGTCTGCATCTCAGGTATTATCGTTTACTTCCATCCGGCGGAGTAGAACTCAGGTGTCTGTTTGTACAGTTCATGAGGTTACCCACTGGGCTAGCCCCGGTAATTCTTGTGTCTGCTTTTCAAGTAATTCAGGTATTCTCATTCATTCTGTAGTCGAACTCGGGTCTGTTTCAACAGTTCAAGGGCTTACCCACTGGGCTAAGCCCGGTGGTTCCAACCGAACTTAAGTGTCTGTTTCAACAGTTCATGGGCTTACCCACTGGGCCAAGCCCGGCGGTCCTTGTTTGCAACTCTGCTTCTCTGCATAGCGGCGTTGACATTGAACATGATAGTAAGCAGTGTAATGGAACACAAGAGAATGCATTGAGGCTTTTCTAGTGGCCAGTGTCTTCACCCGAATAATAGAACACCCGGTTATTATAGGTGCATTTGGGCCAACTTTCAGCCCAGATGCTGCGATATTGACCGGATGTTCTATTCAGGTAAAGACAGTGGATACGGCGGGTTGGTTATAGCAGCGTGTAGTCCAGTCTTAGGCAGACTTGCTGGGCAACGGTACTGTCCTTCCCCGAACATAACACACCCTGATAACGAGTGTATACGAGCTAATTCTTCCAGTCCGATGTTCAGAACTGCGGTGCGGTGTGTTCGTGGGAAGCCGGTGGTATTAAGAGCAGCTCGGTATGGAAGGACAAAAGGGTGCCCTGTCTTCTTTGTTCGTCTGTCTGTTTGTTTGTTGTTCAAGGGACTTGAGGTGTGTCCTGTCTTGTAAGGGGCATCTGAACGGAATTGCACACAGGTTTGCAACGCGTGGGATCTTGATGTGGTAAATGGGATGCGGACCTGGCTGCCAGCCGGTGAAGGTCCTCACCTGCAAAGTCCCAGCAGAAAGGTGGCAGACGAGAATTCTGCTGGGGTTGACGGGGGGCCGATTCCCACTTGCCAAAATTCTTCGTTTTTGACAGCCGATGTCTGCAATCTACGGTAGTAAACCAAGGATACGCGGAAGTGGACTTGTAGTATGCAGGAATGCCACTTCGCGCAGTCTCAATCACCAGCAGCATCTGTAGTTACAGATCTGTACATTTGGGCCGAAGGCCCTCGGGAGTTATAGATCTGTACATCTGGGCCGAAGGCCCTCCCGTGTAAGCACATATGTGAACCAACGGCCTCGGCCTCAAGAGCCAAGTCTCTTAAACCACCACTCTACCCGCGTTGTGAAAGTCAGGGGACCGGTAGCACATGTTCATGAGGGCTACGGGTAGCATAGTGTGGAGACCTGGCAGAGACCGAAAAATGAAAAATCTGACAAATTGCCGCCACCACTTGTTCGTGGTTAAACCACTAAACCACTAGTACCTCGGAGCCTGTTTTTGCCGATCCTGAAGTTCACTGTGCTCCGAGTTTGCCGAGCCTGGGTACCACTCCATTTTCTTTCTGGTACTCTCAGGGAAAGAACAAAAAAGAAGAAGAAGAAGAAGAAAAGTTGCAGGCGTGAAACTCAGAAAAGAAGGGGGAAAAAAAAGGAAACTAAGCTTTGGCCATGATTGCAGTTGTATACATTCTTGGAAGTGGTACTGTGAGTGTGCCCTCAGTGAGGGCATCTCAGCCCCTTGGTCAGGTTGTGAGATCCGGAAAAGAGAATAGAAGGAAAAAGAACGGGCATAAGGATCCAGCCATGAAAATGGCTGGATACATTCCACTAAGTTCAAGTGTGATGAGCGTTACTATCCTCTGACGAACGAAACACTGCTTGAGCAGATCACGGACAGCTTGAGCAGATCGCGGATTCCGCCCTGCCTCGTTGGCAGGGGACTCGTAAGAAACACAATACAAAGAAGCCTTACCTGTAAGGTGCATTCTGCGGAGGAAGACTGTGAGCACAGCCTCCTAGACTGCCCTGCCTGACATCTTTGCAGTAGAGAAAGCATTTCCTTTTTTGCCCTTTTCCTTTCACTCGCGGGCACTTAAAAACTCAGATTTATCATTATAGTTTCTTCTTCCGGCAGGGAAGATGCCCAAAGCGGAGGGGAGGGAGGCGAGCCGGGGGAGGGAACAGCAGAAGGAAGGGATCTGGGAAGTCAGGCCGGGTCCTCAAATCGATCAGCAAACAATAGGACATGGGCGGAAAGGGTGGGGAGGCCATATTCTGGGGACGAGATCTACATCAAACAAAAGGAGGAGGGAGGAGGAAAGGAGGGAGAGGAAAGGGGGGTAGAAGAGGTGTGGAAGATCCCGCTGGGAAGCTTAACAACAGCAGGGGGGGCTTTTTCTTGACAAGCCTCCTCTCCCCCTCAGAGAATAAAGTGCTGCGCCAAGGCGGTAGATCAACACTAATCAAGTCACTTCCCAAAAACACGGTAAGACTGAGGGATAAACTGTATACCCGATGCGCGAGTAACTGGGCGTTTCACGATGACGCAGCGTTTAAGTCCACAAACGATAAGGTGACTTGGATCAGGGAGCGATTAGCGGCTTTTAAAGGGAATCCGGAGGGAGCATACGGCTTGACGGTTATCACAGTAATATGCATGTTTGACGCTGACAAAAAGACAATGGATGGGTGGAGGGCGCTCCGCTGCGAGGAAACAGCAGAGACCGGAGGAGCGAAGGGAGCAACTAATGAAAGGATTCTACTGGGTTGAAGTCCGCCATGCCCGGATCGAGATACAAGCTTCCCTTGTTCAGGACTTAGCAGAAAAGTTTGACGTGGTGGATTTCATTGACCCCCTCCCATCACACGTGGCAAGGCGAGATGACTACCTTATGTTAGCTATCCGGCTTGCAGAAGGGCAGCTCTTCACGATGGATGATATTATACCGATGTACATTGGAGGAAGGGTCTATCGCATCCACACAGCTCATAAGCTCCGACCCTGGTGCTTTAAATGTCAAACGTATGGACACCTCTACACTGATGCTGCGTGTACACATCACCCCTCGCGTACAGTGAAGCCTACGGGACGACTGAAAAAAGATCCTTTTATGGAAACAAGATGGAGAACGGTGGACGCAGGGCACGAAGGTTGGGTCTATGTGGATGCTCCAGAGGGGGGAGGGGGGGGGG